TTCCCTCCCTTCCCCTAAAATCCTCTGTCTTGTTTCTCAAATTCCTCATATATATTCTTTAGAGAATGTCTATTGAAGTCATTTATTAATTTTGAATCAGGCTTGGTTTTTTGGGGTTGTTGCATTTTAGACATTCTGTATATATTCTTATTCTGGATATTAATATCATCAAGTATGTGGATTTGCAGGTATTTTCTCCCATTCTGTGAGTTGACATTTTACTGTGTTGATACTGTCTTTTGATGCACAGAATTTTAAATTTTCATGAAGCCGTTTGTCTATTTTTTTTTCCTTTTCTTAAAAAAAGATTTTATTTATTTGTCAGAGAGAGAGAGAGCACAAGCAGAGGGAGCAGCAGCAGAGGGAGAGGGAGAAGCAGGCTCCCCACTGAGCAGGGAACCCAATGCGGGACTTGATCCCAGGATCCTGGGATCATAACCTGAGCTGAAGGCAGCCGCTTAACCAACTGAGCCACTCAGGCGACCCTGTTCCACTCAATTTTGTCTCTTCCAAATAAGAACTATGAAGATTACCAACCAGATCTGAGTAGCCAATCCAGAACAAACCTCACATCACTCAGTGCTCCTCCAAATCACAGAAACCCCAAACTGGTCAGTCTCTTAAAACACTCTGATGCATCCTGCAAACCTTCCTGGTGAGTGAGTGTCCCGCCGCAGTAGCATAACCTACCCACTCCCCTTGACTGCAGGTATGGTCTTGGTGGTCTTTGGCTAGATTACATTGACAAAATAAGTTTTTACTATCATGAATGAATATGAAATCATGCTAATGTCGGAAGTTTTAAGTACATTAAAAAACCAGAAAGAAAAATACATGAATCCATACAAACCTGTTAACACTGACTCAGAATGAATGGTGCCTAAATTGGCAAAAGTATAACATTGGTTTCACACTCTGTAATTGCAATGGGATATTTTAATATATCCCGAGTGAAAAGTAAAAAAAAACATTTCTTAGTATCCATGTCGGTGGAGCACATGGAGATAATGACAGGTTAGGTTTGAGAGAATGAAAGTCAAGTGCTTGCTGTCTGTTTTGAGGGGACTCTTGATTAAAAGGGGCAGGAATTAGTGTAATGGTCTAGAAGGCAGTGTCCATTCTGCTTTCTATGTCTCATGAAAATTTGTCAACTAATGAATGTTAACCTGGAAGTATACAGGAAAGACATTTAGGAAAGTTGAATTCCCAGCCTTACCCACATTTCCATAATGAAATCTGGTATAACCATCTCTATATGTTTCATTATGTCATAGTCTCTATTCTTTTTTTTTTTTTTTAAAGATTTTATTTATTTATTCATGAGAGAGAGAGAGAGGCAGAGCGAGAAGCAGGCTCCCAAGGAGCAGGGAGCCCGATGCGGGACTCGATCCCAGGACCCTGAGATCATGACCTGAGCCGAAGGCAGACGCCCAACCATCTGAGCCACCCAGGCGCCCCATAGTCTCTATTCTTAATTCAAAGCTTGCTGTCCAAGTCACATGCAGAAGCAAGGAAAAGAGCAAACTGCAGGAGATAAAGATCACTCTTTGTAGAGTTTTGCATACTTACAAATTTTTACATTAAACGAGTATTTCAGTAAGAAGAAAGAAATATATACGTGATATTCACTATGTGCCCTTCTAGAACAGTAAGAAAACTGCAAAATGACCCAAGTCCTGTTATTCTAATGATACAGAAAGACTACTGTTTTGTTCATCTCAGCGGGTCAGTAGTGATCCCGTCAGCTAGGAAAGCCTAGGTGTGCTCACCTGGGCCACACTGCTTGTGGTGAGGCCCCACAGACCTGACCCCATCCAGACCCAATGTTGTGACTGGACTGTTCCCTGTGGTTCTTATTGTAAGACGCACCTTAGCAAGAGCCATCATGGAACTTAGAAGAACAAGGTTTATTACTCCCAAGTCCTGGGAAGTACACGGTACGCCTGGGGCCACACAGCAAGGCTGTGAGTAGAGAATGCAGACCTGGTGTTCTATGTATGTTGGGGACAAAGGTGGGCTGCCTAGGGTTTTGCAGGTTTATTATTTATTAGGAACTTCATTGGTGGAGGGTGGCCTGGTTCTGTATCTAGTTGTTCTGCTGGCAGCCGTATTCTATAGCCAACAATGTTTATTCCAGACAGAGGTCTTTCAGGTAGATGCCCCAGCAGTCAAATGACTACGGTCAGGCCCCTACATTAAAATCTGAAGCTCGATGTCAAGCACTTACACTACAACACACTATGTAAGAGTTAAACTTTCTGTCACATTAAAAGCACACTTCAAATTACTATGGCTCAAATAAACTACCAAGAAAGAAAAAGGTATTAACTGAAAAAACAGGAAAAAAAAAAAAAAAAAAACACCCCACTTTTTAAACTCCTGCACTCTAGCTGAAAGACTTATTATTTCTCATAGGAACACTTATTTGTGAAAGAACTGGAAATTCACTATTTAGGGGTCCATTTTTAAATGAGGTAGTGACAAACAGTGCCATATTTATAACTTCTATATTTCCTTCCTGGAATATGATACATGAATTAGTGTAAGATTTTCCAACATTACTTACAATTATGGAATTTCTCCCTAGAAAAGCATGACCTAACTCAAATATTACATGCATTTCTGGAGCTGCTACCCAGTGTGCATTCTCACATGGTTTCGAACAGATGAAGGCCACTTGAAGGCTTTCCCACATTGCTTGCATTTATGGGGTTTCTCTCCAGTGTGCAACCTCACATGCTTTTGTAAGGACGAGGACCAACTAAAGGCTTTCCCACATCGTGCACATTCATAAGGCTTCTCTCCAGTGTGGGTGCACATGTGGCCTTGAAAGGATCTGGAAGAAGTGAAGCCTCTCCCACAATTCTCACATTTATACAGTTTCTCTTCAGTGTGAATTCTCACATGTTCTCGAAAGGTTGAGGGCCAACTGAAGGCTCTTCCACACTGTTTACACTCATAAGGTTTCTCTCCAGTGTGGGTCCTCACATGCCCCTGGAAGGACTTGGGGGAACTGAAAGCTTTCCCACAGTGCTCACAATTATACAGCTTCTCCCCAGTGTGCATCCTCACATGTACTCGGAAGGTTTCAGGCCAACTGAAGGCTTTCCCACATTCCTTACATTCATACGGCTTTTCTCCAGTGTGAGCCTTTTCATGTCTTTGGAAAGACTGGGGATAACTGAAGGTTTTCCCACACTGTTTGTATGTATAGGGCTTCTCCCCAGTGTGTGTTATCATGTGCCTTTGAAAGACTGAGGGATAAATAAAGACTTTCCCACATTCCTTACACTTGTATGGCTTTTCTCCAGTGTGAGTACGCACATGCCCAGTAAAACTGGAGACCTCGTGGAAGGTTTTCCCACATTGCTTGCATTCGTAGGTTTTCTCTGATGTGTGAATCTTCGTATGTTGAGTGAGGGAGTAAGAATGGTGAAAGGCTTTTCCACATAACTTACATTCATAGGGCTTCTCCCCAGTGTGTGTTACCGTGTGCCTTTGAAAGATTGAGGGATAAATGAAGGCTTTCCCACATTCCTTACACTTATATGGCTTTTCCACAGTGTGAGTTTTCATGTGTCTAGTAAGACTGGAGAACTCGTGGAAGGTTTTCCCACATTGCTTGCATTCATAGTTTTTCTCTGGAGTGTGAATCCTGATATGTTGAGTGAGGGAGTAGAAATAAGGAAAGGTTTTCCCACATAATTTACATCCATAGGGCTTCTCTCCAGCGTGAGTTCTTAGGTGTGCATGACAAACGCAAGCCTGCTTGCATTCTTGACACGGATATGGTTTTTGTCCACAGTGAGATCTGACGTGCCTCTTAAGGGAAGAAAGATGCATGAAGACTTTTCCACACTTGGTGCATTCATAGAGTTTTACTCCAGTAGAAACATTCTTGCAGAAATTAAAATGGGGAAACTGGCTGCACATTTATCTGTGCTGATTTCTTTCATTACCTTCACAGAATCTGCCTGTCACAGGATTTCTGTTAAAAGTCAAACACTTTATCAATGTTATGTTTATTAATGATTTATTATTAGCAACTAATAAGTATTAGAGCCAGATGACTAACTGCATTTTAGTAGACAGGAAGTTTTTCTACTCTCTGTGGATTGTCTTAGAGTTAACTAATGCCCTAGAAGTGACCTCTATCATGTTCACTGTTCATACTGTTTATCATGTATGGGGACTTCCTAAAAGTGTCTAACTAATTATGCTTAAACACTCAATGTCTCAATCAAGATTTTAAAAACTTTCTTAGAATTCTAAATAGATTTGGGGGCACCTGGGTGGCTCAGTCAGTTAACTGTCTGCCTTCAGCTCAGGTCATGATCTCAGTGTCCTGGGATCAAGCCCTGTGTCATGCTCCCTGCTGAGCAGGGAGTCTGCTTCGTCCTCTCCCTCTCTACCTCCCCCCCGCACCCCAACCCACTTGTCCTCTCTCTCTCAAATAGATTTGGAGCTGTGTTTTTAGTTTTTTAAATTTCATGACCTACCAAAACTCTGTCCTGGGATTAGTACTGCTTTATCTTGTGAACACAACTCACCTCAGATGTCTTGCATGATTTCCATGCTGATCTTCAATGCTATGGTCTTCGCAATTTTTTTCTAAAATGTAGGCACAAGAACAATTTCTTGTGAATTTTGCCATTTTCTGTTCATTAGATTTTTTTTCCTCATGCATATCCTGTTGAGAAACCAACCCACTGGCTTTAAGCAGTGTTTCATAATCTGAAACAAACAAAAAGGTGAATGAACATATTAAAGGAAGAAGGAACTTATGAGTAAAGAAAGACTTTGAGGACTTTAGTGCTTTCAGGACTTCATGGATGGCAGGCAGGAGGGGTCAAAATGGTAGGCAATTTACTAACGACTATCAAAAGTTTTCCAAGAAACCTCTCTCTGAACCAGAACAACACATGAAGCCAATCCCCCACTAATGAAGCCAAAGGAGTTTCTAGTCTTTGAACCAAGAAAAAATAAAACCTCAGTTTAAGGGACACATTTCCACTGTCATGGAGACATTATTAGATTGTAGGTCCGTGATGGCTGTGACAATGTCTGTCTTACTTACCAGTGTATTTCTTTTCCACATTTCAAATTGTGGAAAAGCACTGACAAGAGATACTTGTTTATTAGATGACTAAGTGAAGGCCTGAAGCCATCCTTACCCACTGAGACCAGGTTCTGGAAAATTTCTAGCATCACATCTCTGTAGAGGTTCTTCTGCATAGAATCCAGCAAAGCCCACTCCTCCAGGGTGAAGTCCACAGCCACATCCTCAAAGACCACCGAGTCCTGAAACATATGAATGTGTGCAGGAGGAAGGGTGAGTCTGAAAGCACTGGGGACCTAAACTCAATTCATAGGAAGTTCAAATCAGATCCTCTGGTCTCACAATATGTGCTCTGACTGTAATAGGCTTACCTGCACCATTAAGGAGTCAACCTTAACGCTATATTTACCATGACGACTCTCGTCTTACTCCTTTCTATCAGCTTGACCCAGAGAGATATGCTATGCACATTAAATAAATACTTCTGTTGGAAAGTATGCAGTAAAAGGGTAACAGATCTTAATTGTCCAAACCCTGAATATTCTTTAGGACTAGCCCTTGACCAACTCCTGGGAGGAATTCTGCAAGCCCTCAGAATACATGGACTGATAAGAGTGTCTGTGTATATAGGTGGGGCCTTGGACCCTGTGACATACTGTATCAGACTTCTAGAGAAGCTGGATGCTGAGAAGCTAAGACCAGTCACACAGGAGTGCCCATGACTAACCCTCAATAAAAAGACCTGGGTGAGCTCCCCTGGCTAGAAATATTTCATAAAAGTTGTCACACATTAAGCTCTGAATGTACAACTGCATTGAGAGGGGACGACTTGGAGCTTGATCCTGGTTTCTCCTGGATTCTGCTTTGTGTTCCTTTTCTATTCACTAATTTCAATACAGACCTTTTCCCCATAGTCAGCTGGAGCACTGTGTATAAGAGCTTTTCTGAACTAAGTCCTTCTGTGGAATAAATATTTCTGTGAGCCCTTGTAGTGAGTCTTCATACCTGAGGTTGGTCTTGGAGACCCGTGACACAGAGCACCATCAGCTCCCTGAGTCATAAAGTAATTCACTATGGGGGCTATCAGTAGATTGAAACTGCCAAGATATAGAACTAGTGAACGTGAAGACAGGCTGGTTATGCAATCTGAAGAACAGAGAGAATAAAAATGATGATAGAAGAAATGTAAGGTACCGTTTAGTGTACCAACACACATGTGTTGGCAGTACGAGAATGAGGAATGGGAGAGGAAGGAACAGAACAAATACTCAAGAAATAATGACTAAAAACATCCTAAATTTATTGAAAATCAGCTACACATCCAGATGCTCAATGGACTCCAAAGAATAAAACCACAAAGAGACCCCCGAACAGATACATCATAATGAAAACTGTGGAAGCCAGAGATGAGGAGAAATCATGAAAGCAGCAAGAGAAAAACCTGTCAACTAGAAGGGAACCACAATAAGACAAGAGCTAATTCTCAGCAGAGATAGCGGAAGTCAGAGGTAATGGGGTAATGTATTCGGAGTGCTGAGAGAACGAGCAACTCCCAATAAAGAATCTATATCCCAAAAGCTACTTTTTAAAGTGAAGGCAAAATGAACACATTTCCAGATAACAAAACCTGATAATTTTTTTTCCCAGGAGAAGCACAATATAAGAAAATACTAAGAAAATTCTTTAAACTGATAGGAATTGAGGCAGGGAGCTTAGATGACAATATAGTAGGAGGATTCCAGTCCTGCCTCATCTGTAGAGCACAGCTAGATAGTATGAAATCATTCTGAGTACTCAAGAAATCGACCTGCAGGCTGAGAGAAGCAACTGCACAAGTACAGGGAGAAAAGAGGCCACCCTGAGGAAGGTAGGAGGTGCGGAGATGTAGTCTGGGGGAGATGGATCACAGGTGCTACAAAGGTAAGGGAGCCATGGTTGCAAAGAAAGGTGAGACAGGAACACGTGGAAATGCACAAGGAGAACACTTCCCCAACGCCATTGGCTTGGAAAATGAGAGGGGCTGATTTTCATGAGTTTTTGCAACCAGTGTAGCTCAAAGACTGGACTTAAAGAAGTTGGCAGGCTTGGGCGCCTGGGTGGCTCAGTTGGTTAAGCGACTGCCTTCGGCTCAGGTCATGATCCTGGAGTCCTGGGATCGAGTCCCGCATCGGGCTCCCTGCTCGGCGGGGAGTCTGCTTCTCCCTCTGACCTTCCTCCTTCTCATGCTCTCTGTCTCTCATTCTCTCTCTCTCAAATAAATAAATAAAATCTTTAAAAAAAAAAAAAAAGAAGTTGGCAGGCTTGACTGGGATAGAGCCCTAAGAGTGCTGCCCTACTCCTGCACTGAAGGCATGCAAAAAATCCCAGGGTAGACAGCATGATCTGAAGATCATCTAAAAGGCACAGGGAGAGACTGTTCACTCTTTTTGAAGTGCATCTGTGAGAGAAGACATTCGCAGAGTTGCCTCTCAGGGGATAAAAGAGGCTGCAGGTGCCATTTCCCTCTCCTGCCCCTTAGTATAGGAGCAGAGACACTTGCTGAGGGCAGCTAAGCCGGACACTGGCTGTTTAGCCTGCTTGCTCATAATCTCACGCTGGTGTGACTGCCTTTCTGGATCAAACCAGCATCAATCCCAGCACAGTGAGATCCTTTCCCAGAGGACCAGCACAGGTCCCCACCACACCAGGTCCCTGAAGTCTGGAGTTTTAAAAATCAGACAACTTGGCTGATGTAGAGCCCAAAGTACATTGCACTACTCCAGGCAGACAATCAACATGGACACAGTTTGAGAATGGTAATCTGAAAAACACCTAGGATACATGAGGGGAAATTGTTCACTCTTCTTGGAGGGCTTCCCTGAGAGCAGCAAGCATGGACTCCCCTCTCAGGGGACAAAGGAGCTGGCTGGTGCCATTTCCCTATCCTGCCCCTTAGCATAAACCAACTTCAGTAAACAGCACAGCACCAACACTGATTTAATCTGCTTATACCAAGTCCTGCCTCCCTGCACTCTGCAGGTACTGCTTTTCTCAGGCCTAAGGACCAGCACAGCAGGCCCCTTCCCCAGAAGGCCAGCATACCCCCCCCAACACACACACACACACACACACACACACACAATGCCTACTGACAATAGTTTCTGCAAAGCTTCAGGTCTAGTGGAAATAGCATCAGGTCTCATTTAACAAGCAGACCAGAGCACACCTAGTTAAATCTCACCCAACGCTGGCAAAGGTCCAAACTGCCCCACTGCAGGCAAGGAGGCCTCTGTAGATGACTGAACTGAGGGACAGAGCAGCCAAAACACAACAGTGAATGCACACAGCACATACTAGAGACAATTCCCGAAGCACCAGGCCCTAAACATTATATGACCTCTTCATAAAACCATTACTCTCAGAAGCAGGAAACATAACAGGCTTCCTAATACACAGAAGAAGACAGACACCTAAACAAAATACCAATACAGAGGAATTCATCCCAAAAGAAAGAACAAGGAAAGGTCATGGCCAGGGATCTAATTGAAACAGATATAAGTAATATGCTTGATGCTGAATTTAAAACAACAATCATAAGGATACTAGCTGGGCTTGGGAAAAGCATGGAAGACATCAGGGAGACACCACAGATATAAGAGCTAGGGCGCCTGGGTGGCTCAGTTGGTTAAGCGACTGCCGTCGGCTCAGGTCATGATCCTGGAGTCCCGGGATCGAGTCCCGCATCGGGCTCCCTGCTCAGCAGGGAGTCTGCTTCTCCCTCTGACCCTCCTCCCCCCTCATGCTCTCTCTCTCTGTCTCATTCTCTCTCTCAAATAAATAAATAAAATCTTAAAAAAAAAAAAGAGCTAGAAACCAGTCAGGCTGAAATAAAAAATGCTATACGTGAGATCTGAAACCAAGTGGATGTAATGACCACAAAAATGGAAGAAACCGAGGAATGAATAATTGACCTAGAAGATAAAATTATTTAAAATAATGAAGCTGTACAAAATAGAGAAAGAATGATGGATCATGAAAGTAGACTTAGGGAACTCAGTGACTCCATCAAACATAATAACATTCATATCATACGAGTCCCAGAAGAAGAGACAGAAAAAGGGGCAGAGAATTTATGTGAAGAAATAATAGCTGAAAACTTCCCTAAGCTGGGTAAGGAAACAGATATCCAAATCCAGGAGGTACAGAGAACTCCCAACAAAAGTAGGCTAACAACAAGACATATTGTATTTAAGTTTGTAAAATACAATGATAAAAAATCCTGAAAGCAGCAAGACAAAGGAAGTCCCTAACTTACAAGGGAAGACAAATAAGGGTAGCAGCTGACCTCTCCACAGAAACTTGGGAAGCCAGAAGACAGTGGCAGGATATATTCAACGTGCTGAATGGGAAAAATCTGCAGCCCAGAATACTCTATGCAGCAAGGCTATAATTCAAAATAGGAGAGAGAAAGAATTTGCCAGACAAACAAAAACTAAAGGAGTTCATGACCACTAAACGAGCCCTGCAAGAAATATTAAAGAGGACTTATTCAGTGGTAAAAAAACAGACCCTATATAACAAAGACTAGAAAGGAACAGAGAAAAATCTCCAGAAATAATGATAAAACAAGTAATAAAATGGCATTAAATACATATCTATCAATTATTATGCCGAACGTAAGGGGACTAAAGACTCCAATCAAAGACAGGGTGTCAGAATGGATAAAAAAACAAAACCCCATATGCTGCCTACAAGAGACTAATTTTAGATGTAAAGAGACCTGCAGATTGAAAGTAAGGGGATGGAGAAACATTTATCATGCTAACAACATCAAAAGAAAGCCAGAGTAGCAATACCTAAATCAGACAAACTAGATTTTAAACCAAAGACTGTAACAAGAGATAAAGAAGGGCACTATATCATAATAAAGGGGAATACCCAATGAGAAGATCTAACAATTGTAAATATTTATGCCCTCAACTTGGGAGTACCTAAATGTATAAAACAATTAATAACAAACATAAAGGAACTCATCGATAATAATACAATAATAGTAGGGGACTTTAACACCCCACTTATAGAAATGGACAGATCATCTAAGCAGAAAATCAACAAGTAAACAATAGCTTTGAAGGACACACTGGACCAAATGGACTTAACAGATATATTCAGAACATTTCATCCTAAAGTAGCAGAATACGCATTCCTTTTGAGTGTACATACAACATTCTCCAGAGCAGGTCACATATCAGGCCTCAACAAT